TCAATATATTTATTTTGTTTGTACAAAATCAAAAAATAATTTTTAATGATACAATAGTCTTTGTTAGGCTTAACATCGACGAAAATTCAATGCGAAGCGACACGCAACAGAGAAAAATTTTGACATCGGATACGTTAAACTATTTTCTCATATGTAAATCAGTTAAAAATTGTCAGGATTCCAACATTTTTTACTAAGGTGAAAAGGGTTCTGCAATAAGAATAAGTTGGAAACTCAGGCTCTATCCTCATGGAGAAAACAGGACTCTTGAATACATGACTGATTATCAGAGAACACTAAAGAGACTGAAGGAGATTACTCAGTAGGAGATCTGGATTGCTGAGGGTCTTGCGTGAGCCTGGATTGTTGAGGGTCAATCTAACAGCTCTGCTGCTACAGTGATTGTTTAGAGGATATTAGCTAGGGAAAGTTCTCACATCTTTCATACCATTCAGACTTTGCACTATCTGATTTTCATTTGTTCCCCAATCTGAAGAAGCATTTTCAAGGAAGGCATTTTTAATCTAATCAGTGTGTTCAAAATGAAGTGAAAATATACTGAGTTGCATGACCAGGAATCATTTTTCCATGAAGGCTCATGAACTGTTAAGGGAAGTGCTTGAACAAACTTGTTGGCTACATATAGAAATAGAGGTAGTATCAAAGTGCAATGTATCACTTTTCATTTGATCTCTGTATCTCAGATTTTGTAATTAAAAGAAATTGCATGCATAACCAAAGACGTTACAATCAGCCTTAAATTAGAATTGAATAAAATACTAAAATAATAAGATTGCAAACAAATGAAAAATCAAAAGTATGATGTAAACTATTGCTAAATAACATAACAACATCTCTCTTAATTAAATTAATTAATTAATTTAATTAATTAAAATCATAATTCTGTAAATAATATAACATAACACACTAAAATATATTTTTATTGTTAATACCACAACAAATTTTGTAAACATGCAATCTTTAAGACATGTAAATATATTGGAACAATGAATAAAATGCTTTCAGTTCAATGAAATGCTTTAAAATGCTGCCAGAACACTTAAGAATTCTTAAGAAAATACTATCTAAAATTTTATATGAAAGTAAACAACAGTTTAACTAAATTCCATACATTTACAATGATAAGCATATTAACTAAAAGCTGACACTTAAATTGTCAAGGTAAAGTATAATATACCTCCTAATTAACATCTATAATGGCTTCTTACTCATATAACTAGTTAAACAAGGCTATAAAACCTATATAAAGTCAAGTTTATGCTTGCTTTTAATTAATGTACAATGAATTGCACATTGTGAAATACTACATTTGATTATGGATTCTCCTAAATTAATAATCCTTATTCTATTAATAAATATTAATGCTTGCAATCTTTAGTATCTAACAGTAGTAAATGATAAATGTACAATCATAAATTTGGCAATTAAAACATACGTAAAAGATCTGCAGAACAATGTCTACAGGACAATACATTTATTGTTTAATTATATGGTGTTTATTGAGCAAGTAGTCATAAATTTGCTGAGTCATAATCACATGTTTGATAAATAAAATTATTATTAGAAAAACTTAAAATGTAAATCAAATGTTAACTTTCAAAACTTGTTTAAGTATTCAATCTATAATTTTGCTTCGATACTTAATTTTGTTTTTATTGCAAATGAATCATGAAGGTAGAAAGTTATATCAATTATTATTAATGATGATTTCAAAATCGAACGTAAACAAGTTATTCTTAGCACTGCCTCTAGTCATCATTCTTCATATTAAATAGACAATACACAACAAGACAATAAATCTCTCGAAATTTTCTGATCTGTGCAGTAAGAAAATATGCTCATTATAGGAACTAAAAAACAGAATTCTTTGAGAACTAACTGTTATTTTCACAATAAACATTCAATAACATGTCCAGTATGGCCTTGACTCTTTTCTTTCAATTGCAACAATTGTGTATTTAAATACAAAGCAAGCCATGCTACAAAATAACTATATAACTATTCAAGCAGTAATTAGTTTTCTTTATCAATAAAGTTATCTTTGTACAAACCTCATAATTACTTTCATTATAAAAACTAATTTATTGATTCATTTTCAAGTTAGTAATTAACTTGCAAGTTAACACACAAAGTAAAGATTATATTATATTTAATTAGTTATTGCTACTCTTAATAAATAAACTTACCTATAGTATGTGTCCTGCAGACAGATATCAAAACAAAAGACACTAAAGAGTGCCATATGAGTGCAAAGACTGAAAATATCACCCTTGACAGAAACTGCAACTTGCAAACAATGACGTATAACTCCACCTTTTCACAAGTTTCATTTAAATATGAGTGAAAGCCATCATAATCATTAGTACTGATGAAAATAGCACCTAATAGAAAAAACAAAACGGCAGCATTGATCTTGAATATAGTACGAGAGTGCATTCTTATGTCTCTAAGAAACTGCGTGTGACGGAATAGTCGTGCACTCAAGTTTTTTGCATAGAAACCGAACGACCCCCAGCACACAATTAAGAAAATACTAACTGTGCCATTGGCGATATCAATGGGAGTATTGGGAGAGAGTATATCAAATATTACAAACCACATGTGAGAAACAGCAAAAGTGAGAGCCGAAGCAAAAGTAAGCATGTGCAGTATCAAACCGATGATAGGTTTATCATTAGGATGTAACGGTATCCCTAAGCATTTAGCTATAACAAACCATAACCAATGAGGAAGCTGTCGTGACTGTTTTGTAGATCTGTCTTTTTTCGGAATGGATGGATTTGTTTCCATGAACGTTGCCAAAGTATTGTTGTCTTCTCCACTGGCTTCGTAATAACGACAATCAGCAGTCGTTTCATGAGTTTTGCTATAGAGAAAAGAATAATAAATTGAAAAAATTTAATTTAAAGCTTAATTTATTTTAAAATATATCACATAAAAAAATTAATTTATCATTATTTAAATTAAATAACAAGAAAATTGATAAAGTCTCAACAACAATTTCACAATCTTTGATTATTGAATTACTAATTTAGTACAGATCATTGCATACATTTTGATGGGGTAATGTGTACACATTTGGGGCACTGGAAGTTCTATGAAGTTCAAGAATCTCTTTTTGGTAATGTAGAATGAAGTTGTCACAGATTTATCTATCTTTTCCCCTCAATAAGTAAACAGACTGGTCCCTGCTATTGCACATTTTTATAGCCAGCCAAAATTTGTAAAATTAGGTTTGGCCATGCAACTGGACACACGAGTTTGCCATATTTTGCAATCTTTTGCAACAGAATAGGCATCTTTCATTGAATATTGATGTTTTGATCCTCTTAAAAGGTGTTGCACCAAGTTTACTTGGCATTCCTCTCTTTCTCTTTCCATCAACAATTATTCATTTTTAATGCAATTTTGGAATGTCTGTGGTCTAATAGAGGTAGAATACAGCTAGCAAGGCCTATTCATATGTTCTGTTCTTGATAGCACGTCATTTGTGATGTGGTTGCAATAACCAATTTTTAAGAATTTTGCAAAGACATTTCATGAGAAACTGGATAACTGATCAGCTATCAGATGATGTAAAAAGCAAATTACAATAAAGTTTATACCTTGAAAAAAAAATGCCATCTTTAATCTAAGAAAGTACTTTCTTCCAAAATTAAGTGGATTTTTGCAGGCATAATACATAAATCTGTTACTTCTGCCCAAGGAAAACTGANACCTTGAAAAAAAAATGCCATCTTTAATCTAAGAAAGTACTTTCTTCCAAAATTAAGTGGATTTTTGCAGGCATAATACATAAATCTGTTACTTCTGCCAATGGAAACTGACAATAATTTGAATAAACCAATATGGCAAATTATTCATTGTTAATATTAAACGGCAAGCTGAAATAATTGATAAAATAAATGATTTAAGCCAATCTGATGTCAGAAAAATTTGGTTCACTATTTGACGAAATATTCAGAAATATCTGATTATAAAGTTTTAAAACAATCTGAGATTATGATTGAATTATTAGAAAGTTGGCTTTAAAATCTGATATCAGTACGAGTGACTGTCAATGCTAAATTAAAATCATTAAGCATCCTTTGCATGAAAAAGAAAGAAGCTCCTGAATCAATGCTATGAGAAGAAAAACCAAACGTAAAGATAAAAATTTGAACCAGAACATACTTCCAAAAAACAAGCACAGACATGTCATTATAGATGATGAAAGTTATTTTACATTGTACAATGATTGTCAACCAGCTAATAATGCTTTTTACACATCTGATTCTTAAAAACTCCAGATAATGTAATGTTTATCGAACAGGCAAAATTTCCTAAAAGCCTGTGTGTTTGATTGTCATAAGCAGAAATATCATTCTACCACAATTTTCTTTCCTGAAACTGGCCCCTAATAGCTGATATAACCTAGATGGCCAGATGGATGAGTGATTAGGGTAACAATCTATTATTCTGAGGAACCCAGGATCAAATCTGGATGGGCAAAAACCCCAGGAATTTTTCAGAGGAATGGTCTGTTCAGATATGTTGGGTCCTGTCCCTCTGAGAAGTGTACACATGAAAGATTATGATCATCTATTAAAGAACTTATCAATCAGGATAATAAATCTTTTGATCCGATGGTACTATAGCCTACTACCCCAAAGCTTCAACTAATTACCATCAAAATAAAGCAGTCAGTCTTGTTTGATGGTAGTCAGTTGA